CGAGTTCTTTGAATTCTGCGCACGCGCCTTTGTTGTAAACCGTACGATCTGACGAAGAGTGCTAGCTCCAAACGTCATCCTTCTTTAAATAAGGATGTATAAAAACTTAGCGATTGTTCAACCTATTATTTAATTTTGGTATTTTCGTCGCCTATGCGGTTTTAAAAACATTTGTTTTGTTTTTTTATAAGACAACAACATGGTGATCCAATCTTTAATTTCAAAATGTGACCTGGCATCCTTGGTGGTTCAAGAGAATTCAGTTGATATTCAGTTGGATAACTTACAGCATCAACTGTCACTGGATCACTGACAATAGAGCTGTAGGTGAATTCCTGTCCGAGAACTTTTTGCAATAATTCATTTGTGTCATGAACAGCATCATATCGAGGTGCAAGAAATGCTCTATTACACAACCATTAATAATTTTGACAAATATTAGGGAACACCTTTTCCATTAGCTCTTCTGCATCCTTAACTAAGTTACCACATTTGTCTGTAATAGTAATGTAATTGTTATATTGATTGACTAGAAACCTTCCAACATTGTTAACTTAAGAAGAAGTTTCTGAATTAAACCGTTTGCTTTTATATTACAGAGAAAAAAAAACAATTGCAAATTAACATGTTCATTACGTTTTCAACATAAACAACATTGTTGGCCTAACAACGATATCGTGATAGTTTTGTTGCTAAGCACGATGTATAGCATTGAGTATTACCAAAAGGAACGTGATACGAAGACAGAAACTGAATTAAAAGCCAAATATTACTTTTTTTATGTTAAACCTGTTAGGAATTTTGCCCCTTCGTGTTATTTCTGGGGAGCGTAGGAGTCATCATACTAAGTCTGGTGGTGATTGGTCAAATACTGTGAGAGGAAATATATCGCAGTGGGGAGTGCATGTTGAGGTGACATTTTTCGTACGAGAAGCAAATTGTGTGATGGAAAAAAAAAACTGATCTCTTTCGACGAAATCTAAAATAGAAATTTTGCTTTAAAACTTCACTTTTTTGAGAATCACAGGGAATACAAAATCGAACTTCATATTTAACTGATTTGTACTCTGATGTGGAGAATGTGTCTATGATCAGAAAAACAAGATGAGACTATATCCTGTTATCCAAACATCACTGAATAATACTGCAATTTATAGCAGACCGCCATCACCATAGTAAAGCGTGATCCTCTAAATACGAAATCCACCTTAATAACGCATGATCATCTAAGAACAATGTCCACCCAAACAAAGCATGATACTCTAAATACAAAATCTACCTTAGTAAAGCATGATCTTCTAAATACAAAATCAACCTTAATAAAGCATGATCCTCTAAATACAAAATCCACCTTAATAAAGCATGATCCTCTAAATACAAAATCCACCTTAATAAAGCATGATTCTTTTAACACAAAATCC